GCTGTTGATAGCTCGAAGCCACAGTGTCTCGCGCTGTAGCTCACTGGACAGCTTTTAAAAGCGAACGTTGTTTGTTCTTTGATAAATTGTGTGGAACTGTCTGATGATGCACATGGTTGGCATAGCGAGACCTGAGCCACCCAGAACACGCAGTGGAACACAACCTGACGCAACAAGTGAGAAAAAAAACTGGCACGCTGCGCTCACCGTCAAGCCAAGGCAACCGACGGGAAGGTAAGGATGCACGCGTGACAGATCCCGGATGTACTTGAAAGCGGAACTAAGCAAATCACTCGTAATTGCACAGCGTGAAACTCAGGGTGCAGAAATCGCTCTGTTATCTTTTCTTTACAAGTTTCCTATAAATCTCTTACTTTCTAGCAAAATAAAGTTAACGCTCTGTTTGCAAGTTCTCTTACTCTAACGTTTCACTGACGTCACATCTCAGTGCCTATAGTGGCCAATGGTGCCGCACGTCGCTAGCGAGCCTCCCCCCCCCCCCCAAAAAAAAAACTGCGATTTTAAACAGGTGTAGGTAATTACAAACTATATATTGTGCCGAAATATTTTAGAATTGGTATGTCTAATCTTCACTAAAGCAGGGAAAATTGCTACCGACAAGTTTGATTTGTGGGGTTTAACGTCCCAAAACCACCATTTGATTATGAGAGACGCCGTAGTGGAGGGCTCCGGAAATTTCGAACACCTGGGGTTCTTTAACGTGCACCCAAATCTGAGTACACGGGCCTACAACATTTCCGCCTCCATCGGAAATGCAGCCGCCGCAGCCGGGAATCGAACCCGCGACCTGCGGGTCAGTAGCCGAGTACCTTAGCCACTAGACCACCGCGGCGGGGCAACCGAACCGACAAGTTTTACTTTCACTTCACGACCCCTTTAAACGCGTCTTCACGTGCTCTCAGCTCGGCATGTTGGGAATATCGGGTATTAAATATATCGGGTGACGCAACCCGTGTTACCGCCGGCGGTAATCACCTCTCCCGCGAGATGACGCTACCACCGCGGACGGTCAGTTAATTGCAGTGCCGCGACTTAACGCGTGGCTATATCTGGACCCGCGTGCTCAAGCACGGATGTCCTTGAACGCAGGCGACTTCCCGAGAAAGTCTCGTTTGCATATTGAAACGACAGTTCTGTTCATCCACACAAGACGAGGCGTTTCGGTCACATTTAAGCGCAGATGCTGGCTACTGTTTGGCACATTATTCTAGTCTTACGGCGCCACGCGCAGATAAGATGCGATAGAGTCAGCAACCTTACGCTAGCGGTGCAGCCACTAGTGACCAAATAATTTTTTAACGCAAAGCGTTTCGACAACGGGATGAGGATGCTCTAGCCGTCCAGTATCGACAAGGGAACTATGTTTACATGATAGCAAGAGGCAAGGCAGTTTATCAGGTTTTAATATGGGGCAAACGCTCAGCGGTACTTCATGCGTTGTGACCATTTACTATTATGCACCGTAGGACTGAAAGAAGTGCGAGTAGATAGATGGAGCGTGCAGGTACACAGCTTTGTGCACGCGGTTGAAACTCATATGAATAAAATGATAATCAATAGCTCTACTATAGTTCTGCAGTTCCATTGTTAAAAATAAATAGGAAAAAGTAAATAAACATTATCTCACGCGTGCTAAAACACTGAGTCCTTCATTATAATCCACTTATATGAAATAAAAAATATAACTGTATTTTTATATTATTGGAGACGTTCAGCCTCCACAGTGGGGGTGTTGGTTTAAGTAACGTGCATAGAAGACCAGTAGAAGCTATTGGAATACATGGACGACGGAGAAAAGGCACTTTCCCTCAGCAGAAGAACAACTTTCTGGAAAGCATGGCCACATTGCGTCATTTTGAATGGTGGGCCAAACTTTTTTTGCTAAGTCGGCGAAGCTCCTGACAGTATTTGAAAAAAAAGAAAAGAAAAAAAAGAAACTCTGGGAGGCAGGTCAAACAGGATGAAGCGATGTGACCTTTGACCCTTCTAAATCCTGCGCTCAAATTTCCGTTGTGTGGAGCACCAAAAAACAAAAACACCCAAAGCACCACAAAGTAATGCAAGAGTTCTCTTCATTGTATTGCATTGTAACGAGAAGTGCTAATGATTGTGTAGCAAAAGAACAAAAACGAGAAGAGAAAGTTTTAGAAAGAGACTGCAGTTGTGGAAGCTAATCAGGGTAGCAGCGTATCGCGTAATTCTCCGTTACCCTGTTGGAGTTGTTTTTTTCTTGTCTTTTCTGTATCACGAGTAATTGGTACCGTCTCTCTTTCGACACTGGCCGGAAGTTGTCACAAGGTCACTTCCGTTCGATGTAACAATGCTGCGCGCGTCACAACTCCCCTGGGATATTCCGAGCAACACGATCGAAAGGCAAAATGAAGCTCTTTGCTTCTTCTACAACAATATTTTTTGAATGGTTATATTCATCAATCACATACCCTCACAGAAGTAAGCAGCACTGTGGGTGTGTTTAGAAGAAGTGGTTACCGATTTAGAGTACTCGGTACTAACTATGGGAGAGAATACTGCCGTCCCATGGGCCTCATACTTGATAAGGTTCTTCGGTGCCTAATCATTGTCTACGTCCTTTCATAGGTCCTGCAGGAATACCAACGCACCTTCTTCGTGTACTACATGGTACGTTGCGCTGCACCGTCGCGGGGTTGGAACTCACTTAGCTTTTTAAAGACGATGGGACCTTCGACACAACAGTTTTGGTTTGTTTAAGAGAATTTTATTACCGGATATATCTTGCATTGCTTATGTACACACACAGAGATATACAATGATGATCATGCGTATGTACAGTAAAAGCTGTTATGTACAGCGAAAATAACTTGTTTGCGTATGCGATGACGTACAATGCAAAAATTGTACGACAAGGACCGGGCATTCATGAACTTCGAGATTATGAAACTTATATAAACAGTAAAGGCTATATGGACAAACAACGGCGTCTTTCACAATGCAAGGTGATGTTTTTGCATCCACATGTGAAGACAGTTTGCTCTCGTCTGTTTGTCCGCCCTTAACGGTACTTTAAACGGCACCAAAGTGGCCAAATTTAACTCCAAATGGCTAACCCCATCCGCAGCGCCCACCAATATTGCTCAAGATTCAGTGTTCATCCTTGTGCGATTGTCAAATAAATAGCATTTATAGTGCATATCTCAGGCACCATAACAACACGGCAATTTTTTTATGTATGTCGCTTACTAGAAAAGCAGTAATTCTAAGGACCGTAGCGTTTATCGCGTTGCGCTGACCATACAATGCTTGCACGAAAAGGCAAGTGTTTCTAATGCTTTGCTAAGACGACACAGTGGTGGCACTTACCCGTCGCCTTGCGTTATACACACCTTATCACCTCCGAGACGGACGCGCGGGGCGCGCGTGCTTCGTTTTCCAAGATAAGTGCCAGATAGCGCTCATGTCTCACGTGTGACGTGACTTGATGCTCTCGTTCGCCTCCGCTGCACGCTCGAGGTACCCTAACGCAGCACCTCCAGAATACCATTTACTAATGTTGTTCCGCAGAACATCAAATAAACGTTTTGTTTATTCGCTCCAGACGCAAGGCTATCGTCTTTTGACGACATTTGCAGTGTAACAGGCAAATATGGGGCCATATTTATTTACTTGTTTTATCTTTAGTTCTCTCGTTTGTATCACCTTACCTTTGTTGTCACAATCCTTTTTTTGCCCGGCGACAGAGTGCTGTTATCTTTTTTCGATAATGTACCCGACTTTCCCGTCCCCAACGAGCGAGAAAAGTATATTTTCTTTAGTCCTTGACCTAAACATTCCCGTCATGTTCGGTTTTGTGGGTTCGGCTTTTTTGTACAAGCACTTTGGTTGAGGAGGTGCCCACTTTACAAAATACCAGTTTTTTTTTCGGTCAACATTACCCGTTGCGAAATGAGATTAAAATGCAAAAAGCCCTACTCTATGAAAGGCATTTCAACAGCAAAACTGATGTCTGTCTTCGTCAGGCTATTGCTTTTTTTTAATGCGAAAGAGTTGAACAGCTCGTTTCGCAGACGTTCTGGTGCCAGTGTCAGCGTGGGCGTCGTTGGTTGTGAGCGAAATATTATCTTGCCCGTGACCTAAAACTTGCGAAAAACGCAAATGAAACACAAAATAAAGATCGAAGCACATCCATGGACTGAACGATGATGAGTTGGGCGAAACGCCCGTCAGTCAGTCCACGCTTCCGTCCATCCGTTCGTTCTTGCTTCCGTTCGTCCAAGTGTCCGTCCGCGCGTCCGTCCATCTGAACATCCGTCAGTGCGTCTATCCATCTGTCTGTCCGTTCGTCCATTCGTGCGTCCGTCCATGCGTCCGCCTGTGCCTACGTCCATCCAACGGTGCGTCCATCCCTGCTTTCGTATGTGCGTCTGTCCGTTTACCGTGCATCCGTCTTTCTGGGCGTCTGTCCGTGAGTCCGTCCGTCCAAGCGCCCGTCCATCTGTGCGTTCGTCCATCCGTCCATCCGTGTCTTCCTTCGTCCGTGCGTCCGTCCCTGCGACAATTCATCCGTCCATACATCTGTCCATTTGTCCATCCATCCTTCCGTTTGTCCGTGCGTCCGTCAATCCCGCCATCTGCTTGTCTGTCTGTCCATCCATGCGTTTGTCCGTGCGTCCGCCCTTCCGTCCGTCTAGCGAACACTCCAAGTACCACCATCTCTCATATTTTCATCATATATTCGCCATATACAAGTACCGCCATCCAGCGGACATTTCAGGAACTAAACGAGAGGTGGATAGCTACTACTACTACGACTACTACTACTACTACGTACATAGCGCACACACGACCCATGGCATAAGGAGCTTCGTCCCTAAATGTTTGCGGGTCCTAGCGAGGATCAAACCTAGGCCCTCTGCATGACAAGCAGGTTTATTCGCAGTCGTGCTGGAATGATTTGGTAGCATTTCAATGTGGTCGTGGCCCCATTTCACCCTACCACTCACCAAAACTGTCACACCTCTGCTGGAATGCAAACAGCGTTGCAAGCACTGCAGCTGTGCATTTCATGCTCGCTTCGCTACCCCTATCGGAAGAGGGTTTCCCAAAATTAACTAGAGGGTACTCTGGCGTTACGATCGTTCAGTGACTATAGGAATTATGGGTATGACATAGATTTGCCTAGTCTTCCTGCTTGAGGGTGGCGAATCGCACTTGTTGCTTCATTTATTACTGTGTTTTGGTTTTATTCCGAAATGAAAGAACAAACCACTTTGAACTTCGGGAGCTGATTTGAAATGGTGATCCTAAAAAGTGAAGGTAGTGAAGCGTAACTCCCGAACATTTGCCGATTGTTGTTTCTTGAGAGAGAAGCTTCAAGCCACGCGAAGCCAGGAGGAACGTAAAGTGCGAAGACCAGGCAAATCCATGTACTACCCATAATTCTCATGCTCGGTGAAGCGCCATGCGTTGTGGCTACCATAGACATGAGCGCCAGCGTTCCCCCTGGTGTATAATTAGGAAACTCTATGCCTCTCAGAGCTTTCTCCTAGCAGACGGCTGGGTTCACAACGACTTCTAGTCTAACAGACAACTGCGCTCTAAAGACTCTGACCACACGCACGCGCTGCAGAGTGTCAGCGCGTGGACCCGTGGAGAAAGAAAGAGAGAAAGATGGAGAGTGTGCAGTTTTGCGTACCCTCTCGCCTTCAACCTCCGTAGGGAGATGGTGCGGCACCGGGTCCACACGCCACGCGCTGACGCGCTGCAGAGCGCACGCTTGGTCGGGCCTTCGCGCGCTTTGCGCCGAACGTCATAGTCGCTACCCCTGTCGCGCCTTACAATGACTCACCCTGTAGCCCGAGCCTCGGCTGTTACGCTAAGGTAACTATGCCATGCACGTCGAAGGGTTGACAGACAATAGCTTCGCTGCTATTTGCCCGTTCATTATTGATTTTTTTTTTGGGGGGGGGGGGGTAATATTTTTTTTTGTTTTCCATAAAAAAATATTTCGAACAGAAACGTGTGACAGCAGACGCGGCGTTCTAAGTTCATCTTTTTTTATATCCTTTAAATTCTTTTTCTGTCAAGTAAGGACAGATCGGTTCATCGCATGTTCATGCAATATTCACTGGTCTTCTTGTTTCATCGATGTCCCTGTTAGGCATGCTGCAATAGTGAATCTGTCGTTTGCTATCGCGTACTATTTAGCGTTTTCCTCTGGGCAAGTCACAGTTTGTGCGTGTATGCTGGGTGCGTTCTACTTGATATAAGCCGTTTGGTGCCAAATCACCAGAATCACCAGCGACCATGCCAGCCTGACCGAAACTCATGTTGCAGTTCCGGAATTACCTTAATAAATCTTATTAAATTGTATTAAGTCTTATTAAATCGAAAGCGTTTACTGCATCATGAACAAAAAAGCGAGCGTCGGAGTAGTCGTCGTCATAAGCACGATTGGTCAAAAGAGTCACGGGATCACGCATTACGCCGTTGGCATCATTGTGCTGTCTCTACAAAACCACACAATATGACTTTACACGAGGCATTCATAGTACGGTCGATGGTGAGCCGACTTCAGAGGCAACGCAACATGAGAGGCATATTACATTTTTCATTCCTACTCCTCTATAACTGATTTCAAGCCTATGACTAACACTCCCCATCACATGACACATTTAAGAGAAAATCAAGAACATTAGAAACTGAATTTATTGGACCTTCACCTGAAAAGCATCTGCACCAAAAGGCAAACGTCTTTTTAAAAGTTTCCTTAACGGATACCGGACCAGATAGGTGTTTGTGATGAGCAGATATCTCTACCTATGTGTGAAGTGATGTGTGAGTCTGTGTATACTCAGGGTATAAACTTTTGCGAAAATGGGTGCGTGTGAACGCTGTACTGAAGAATGAACTCCTGCGTGTGAATCAGGACGCCTGGAGTGATGCCCTGCAGGTCACTGTCATGTTATGTTTTATTGGTTTGAGTTTGCTGTAACTGTTCTCTTTACTTGTTCATTTTTTGCTTTTGTTTTGGACGACGACTTTTTTCTTGTTGATGCGGAATATTTAGAACATCATATAGTTGAAATACTCGGAGCCCTCCATGATGGCGTCTCTTATAATCATATCGTGGTTTATGACGCAGGAATTGAGACGTTTAAATGTCAACCGTTCTACAGCGAAGCAGTTAGATTCGAACAGAACTGGAGTAGACGGACTGGGGTTGGGGGTTGGGAGGGGCGATTGAAGGGGGGGGGGGGATCCATACACTGGTCTGTGCAGAAAAGGGTGGCTTAGACCATGTCATTTTTGCTCCTTTTCATATACATCGCTCTGCGTGTTCAGATGTTCCGTACGGCTGTTGTCTCTATACCAGTTCGCGGGTGTTTATTGTTATATCATGAAATTCAAGGCGGGTTTCGCAACAGGCTTGTCATCGTTGTTTATTTGCTTGTACTTATGCTTTCAGCGGCGTCTTGCTTAAGTGATTATGGAACACATTTGTAATCGGCTTAGAGATCGTGCAGGATGTGCCGAACAAGTTCTTTCTGGCTGTGAAAGCATGTAGGCTGTTATCGCTTTAAACACTTTGTTGGTAAGTTTCTACTTTGGTTCTGACAACAGCAATCGCCACACTATAATTCTTCATTTTTCTTCACTACCAGCTAAGAGGCTCGATCTGGGCTTGCAGTCTCGGTGCATTATTGCTTGGTGTTTTGCACATTGGCGTTGCCATGGAAAACTTATAAGCGAAGGGAATGTCATGCTTTGGTACTTATGGTTGCATCATTTTTCGCAGAGTTTCAATGCATTGAAACACTGCACATTACGTAAACACACGTCTTTATCTGTGTTTGCTTCTAATCTTTACTCTAGCCACATGCATACTTTTTGTTACTATTGTATATAAATTAAATATTGTGTTAAAATGTTACAATCAGTCCTATCAAAAAATTCGGATATATTTTTGCCACAAGTACATATCGGGGTGTTCCGAAAATTTTGCTGACAGTTAGGAGTGGTGCTAGGAGGAGGGGGGGACTGGAGAAAGATAATCTATAAAGTGGACTGAGATGAACAACAACAAGAAAACAAGAGAATGATTTCAGTTCTTAAGCGATCTGAGGAAATTGCACAAAGCAATCTTAATGTGACTTTTCTGTGCCATACCAACATTTCAAAACAATGTTAAGACACGTGAGGAATACATTGAGAGCGTCTACTGTTTCACGACTCTGCAATAAGAGAAATGGCAGGTCTCGTGTGCACTGAAAGAGCAGCATTCTCATGAAGTAGACCTGACAGCAAACGCCTAATATACATACCCCCAGTTCGGAGTCAACCGATCAAATAATGTCATTTCACTTTCTGTCTGCAATGAAACTCAACAGGTCACGTCAGAGAGAATCTTCGTTTGCTGGCGCAACTATGGGTCATGTATTTTTGCAGTCTGACGTTGACAACGGTCAAGGTGGCTTTATTCATCGTGATAATGAGCTTACCCTTGGTCATAGTGCTGGCAGTATTGCCCGGAAATGCGAATGAAAGTTGAGGTTATCCATTAGCTCGAGAGTAGCCCAAGGTCACTTATTCAACATAACTCGCGCGTAACATATGAATTCGGAAAATTTGTATGTTACGAGAGCTGGGATTCAGGCTAATTTTTTTTTTTGTAAACGTGCAAACATTTCTGCAAGTATAATGTTAACCGCATCAGACGACAAAAAAACTAATTAAACGACAATATTGCAAGAAACAGTAAACTAGAATAAAGTAATCCTCACATAAAAAACAAAGACACTGTTCACTGTGCCGGCGTTTCTCTTCTACAGCAGCAAACTCAGGAGAGTGGCACTGAGCTTGTCATTTCTTTATCAAGCAGGCACATGGAACTGTCATTCACGTTCATAACACCCTACTTCTGAATGAAATATGCTTCAATTGTCGTTAGAGATAATTGTTCTCTTGCGGCGGAATAGTACAGGTGTAACTCTTCACCAATTTCTGTTCGATCACCATTTATACATGATTGATTGATGTCTGGGGTTTAACGTCCCAAAATCACCGTATGATTATGAGAGACGCCGTAGTGGAGGGCTCCGAAAATTTCGACCACCTGGGGTTCTTTAACGTGCACCCAAATCTAAGCACACGGGCCTACAACATTTCCGCCTCCATCGGAAATGCAGCCGCCGCAGCCGGGATTCGAACCCGCGACCTGCGGGTCAGCAGCCGAGTACCTCAGCCACTAGACCACCGCGGCGGGGCACCATTTATACAGTGTGACAACATAGAAAATACGATTTGGTAATATCTAATCGGCTCTCCACGAAATCCAGGTGCAGCGAGATCAAGCATCGAAACTTGGACGTTACCATCATGACGATGTAGAAGCGTGACGAAACTCGCGGGGTCCCATGTGCATCCATTTAAGACGACTAGACGTCGAAAAGCACCTTATATATATATTTTTTTATTGACGTGACGTGAAGAGACGTCAGCGCACAAATAGGGCGCTGGCTACTTTTTATCCCGTAAAAGTGTCTAGCGTAGTGCATGCAGGGTTGAAGTCTCTAAGCGTTACAAGTCCACAGCACTTGAACTTTATTTTGTATCTGTACACGGTACAGATAAAAGGGACACAAATAAAAAGCCACGTAACAGCTTGATGAGGTCTGTGTCCCCCCCCTCCTTTTTTTGGCAACAAACTGTAGACGGGCAAAATCAACAGTACATAACATTAACAGGTTCATGTACAGAAAAAAAAAGAACTATGCGCGTATAAAAGACATAGCTGAACATAAATCAATGCAATAGAACTAGTTTCTGCAGCTTTCAAGAAGGATAAGAACATTAATACAGAGATATATGAAAATCTTTTATCTAAAAAACACTTTTGAATGATCAATATACAACTTAGCATAAAGGGTGAAACTTAACATCGGACGTTTTCAACAATCGTATATATGTGCGCATACGGTGCACCACCTGTTCCCTTCTCTCTCAATGTATTGTTTCTGCCCCGCGACTCCCCGAAAGCTCTTGGAACCTAACATAAGTTTTCATTG